GACGCACGCTAGCCTCTGAGTTCCGAGGGTATACGCTCAGTTTTCTGTAAATGTTTATCTTATCGGATGACCCTTGGAGGGCTGCGGGCCAGATGGGGCCCAAAACTACGCTTCTAAAATGTTCTAAAAGCTTCTAGAATATTTCCCCCCCTTAAGACGCGTAGGAAAAGGGCGGTAATCTCGCGCGGGAGATTCCAGTCTTTTTCAGGTATAAATAGGGCGGAAAAACGCCGCGAAGAGTCAGATAGTTCTGAGCTCCGGTTCCTTACACAAGTCCTTTTGGCTCAAGCATGCTCAGCCACATACTCCTTCGGTTCTAGCATTTCAATTGCTCAGCCACATACTCCTTCGGCTCTAGCATTCCAATTGCTCAGCCATTCCTTCGGCTCTAGCACTTCAACTGCTCAGCCATTCCTAAATCTCACTCAATTCCAGACAGTCATTTTCCTATATTCAACTGTACTTCTAAATCCGAGCATTCGCGCTCGATCTTGGGACTTAGTCCCTGTACTCTCATATCTTATAAGACCGCGCATCACGCACAAGTTGTACTAAGATTTTTAGAATAAAGGTAAGATAAGTTTGAAAAGGATCAAGTTAGAAAATTTAGAATCTCATCTCGTATTCTTAATCAGTCACTTCTGGCATTCCGACTCGCAGTTTTCGCTGACAAAAGCGTGGCGATCTGTGCTGGGGCGCTGACGAAGAGTGTGGCGACCTGGTACTTTCGCTGCCGAAAGCGTGGCGATTACGGGGTTGGTTTCCAGAAAAGACAATGATCACTTCTGAGATTCGACTCGCAGTTGTCGCTGACATAGTGCGTGGCGATTGGTCCTGAGCGCTGACGAAGAGTGTGGCGAGCAGGTACCTTTGCTGCCGAAAGCGTGGCGATTACGGGGTTGATTCTTGGGAGTCGTAATGATCACGATAAATTTCCGAAAGTGAATTTGACCTCTACGCTGACGATCTGAGCGCTGACGAAGAGTGTGGCGAGCAGAGTGTGTGGCGAATTGGTTTTAGAGCGCTCCCGAAGAGTGTGGCTTAAAATTCATTTTCGTGAACGCGGCTGAATGACGAAGAAAGGAGGTAGGCGCGTTCGAATTAAACGAATCAGATTCCAGATTAAGCAAGCAGTCATTTCTAATCAAGATCCTCTCCCCTTCCTCCAACAATTGCAACAATTAGAAAACGCACCTTCATTTAAACCTATTCCTGTCGACTTCGACATCGATTATCCCCATTATAACCAAATAAATAAAAGCGATCCTCGTTACAAAGTTTATAAACTCAGATATTTTTTTGGTCCCGAATAACGCTAATCATAATAATATCCTTCACACGACTTGTCCAAATCCCTGGTAAATTGCTTAAATGCATTGACCAAAAAACGGACGAACAATAAGTCAGAACGTGACATTTGTCTTGATCTCTTTTAGCTTCTCACGAGCATTGGCTACAGTGCGATGGGACACTCTGTATAACTTTTTATTTTTTACGAAGTTTTTAAATATACATATGTGTTTGAGATCGTAACGACTCGCGAAACAGACGTGACTCAGACAGATCATCTTGCATCAGTCGCATCGTGAAACCACGTTAGATTGCATGAAAATTTCGACGCTCGCATGAAAAATGTTCGCATAATGTCTCGCATCAAATTCGTCGCGTTGATGTTTAACATAGCATAAGTCTTTCTAGCATTCGCATTTTGGAAAGTTCGCTGACATTCACTCGGCGAAAACAAAGTCAAGTAAACGAGCTAAGACAAAGGAAAGATCCATGCTATAAACATTGCGTGAAAAACAAGTATCGATATCGGCGGATCATCACGTGCAAACAGTGACGTCAGCACGATGACGTAGGGCTCCGACGGCCAATCACCCTCCCGAAATTCGTAGAAATTTGTCTGGAGGGAGTTTCGCCTCGGAGGTGATAAAACGACCGCCGCCTCGGCGCGGGATCGATTCTCGCTCGTAAATCACCCACTAAAGTATATCGTATACGACCGCTTGTACTTTGCTTCAACCGCATTTTCGCATTCGCGTAACCGCTCGCCGCTCTTGCCGTGCTAACCATTGTGCGCGCTCACGGCTTTTTCCTTCACTGGAAATATTAAAGACTCTGTAAATAACTGTACATATTTGAACTTTGGGAACATTATACTTTATTTTTCATTTGTACTTGCTGTTCATTTTTGTTCTTTTTGTGGTCGTCTCGTTACCTCGCGCAATACCGCGCTACCGCGTGCTCTCGAACAATATGTATATGTGTATTTATATCCGCGTATGATATAAAAAATTGCAATAATAATAGTTATAATATATGTATAAGCCAGTCAAGTTACGGTTTTAAATCGAATTTGTATTCGGGCTCTTAATTTATATGCCATTTGATAGTAAATGGCACTGATAAAAACATATCAATTTTGTGGTTCGTCAACCCCGCTCGTTTTTGCAAAAAAAGAAATAAAAACCGACCGAGAAAAAATAAATTTATGTAATTATATAAGATTATATATAATTGGCCATATATAATTAGATCGGAAATTTGGCGCGATATGATCTTATATAATCAACTGTGATCATATGTAATCAGATATGATATGATTCAATATGTAATATTATTGTATCTAATCAAATATAAATATACATATATAGTTATATACAATCACATATAATTAAGTCACATTTGCAACCCTCTGCTAGTTATGCATATTATTGCAACTTATCAATGACCAATTTGACCAATGACCAATTTTGTGTTAAAAAATTAATGCAAAAGTGTTGCAAATCCAGAGAAACAAATTAAAAATACATTCACACATATTGTGTGGCGTTTCATATAAACGCGCCACTGCGCTGCATGCCAGCCTCGGATAGAGTTCCTATAATGAGAGTTTGGACACCGTCCGCCATTTACTGCCAAATAGTGGAAGGGGAATTGGCGCGCTAGATAAAACTCTAAGGCCGGTATTCATAGTCGGATCTTATTTCAAGACCGTCTTAAGTAATGTCTTAAGTTGCTAATACGGTCATTTCATTGGCTGAACGGAGTCTTAAGACGGCCTTTGACTAGACTTAAAACGATCTTAAATATAAGATCCGACTATGAATACCGGCCTAAATTACAATATTCTACGACGCATGAATAGATTATATATTTCATATAAATTACTTTGTATTTTCAATAATTTATTTAAAATTTTGATAATTAAAATATGTAATATATTTTATTTATTAACTATAATACGGCAATATATTTTTTCTTATTTTTATATCAATATTAGGTGTCAATAAATCATCAAAATTATATAATAAAATATAAAATGAAATAGAAATATTTATTGGATATATCTAAATATAACGATATAAATCGTATATATTCAACTGACGTCATAATTTATTAGTTAATTCTGGCATAAAAGCACTATTTTGCTACCGATAGAAATAACCATATTATTTTTTTTTTTAAATGTAAAGCTATACTTAGCTGACGATGATGTACTCGTTTTTATAAGGATTTGTAATATTTTGAATTTATTAGTAGGTATAATAAGAAAACTAATGAAATCTAAAATAATACAAACTTTATTTAACTCGTGCATGCATAGCAGCACTTTTGCTGCCATAAGTATCTTTATAATCAACAGTAAATCTCATAGACATTTTTTTTAATCTAAAACTAATAAATCGCTGAATAATTTTATCTTTTATATTATGGCACGTAGGTAAATCACAGTTCAAATATTGAAATTTATAAGTAAAGTCTTTAAGATCTATCGATAATGTACTCACTGTAGTATAATAAATTCTGAATATTTTTTCCATTTCAATTATAAAATTAAAAGTAACATCGTTTATAAAAAATAATGACTCATTATTAAAGCACCTAGCTCGGGTCAAATACGTATATGAAGATATTCTTTGTTGTTTTGATCCGACAGCATTAATACACGTATCACAGGTTTGATGCTTATTCTTAATTTTTGTGATTATATAACCTCCTATATAATACAAACAATTTAATGTCGCGTTATTAAACTCTATATTCGCAGCACAGATGTTTAAATCTAAATCATTTAATATATTTGGCATATTTTGAACACTTTTCTTCTTTTTTTTCATTTTGACGATTTTTTTCCATCATTGCATCAAGAAATTCAGAGAAGAACTCTCTATCATCTTCTTCGTATGAACTATGAGATACATTTTTCATATATTGTGAAATAACAACTAACTTGAGATCATATTTAAATTGCACTGCATTAGGTATAGCGTGTGTTGAACGTATTATTGAAAATAAATTTTCAAGGCAATCTTGCATAAATCTGGATGTTAAAACAAATTTAAAATCTTCATAGTTTAGTAAATAATGTGTTAATTCAATTATGGATTTCGTAGATATTATAATCCCAGTTTGAAAAGGTTTCCAATGTCCAGTTTCTCCAACTTTCATTAATGATACTAATTCAATAATTCCTTCTAAAAAGGAAATTGTTTCTGTTTTTTTCATTTAATTTTCCCAATGCTAATTTTAGGCTGCGAGCACTCATGATTTTAAATCATTTTGACATAATATACTAATAAACCAAGCTGTTGTTACAAAATCAGAATTATTAGTATCTTCGGATAATAATTCTAATGCTGAACTTACGACAGGGCTTATCACGTTTGTCGCACTGCTAACTTTCATTTTTTAAAAATGATATTTTGTATCAAGCAATTGCTTCTGTAATTTCGGAGCTAATGCTAAACTAAAATCTAATGTATTTTCTTGTTCTGAACATAACGTTAATAAATGTGAAGCATCAACAACATTTGTTGGTAACTGATATAAACTAACAAGGTTATCGGGAATGGTAATATACTTATTTCTTAACAATCCTTGATTTAAATTTTTAAAAGCGTGAGCTGCATCATGAATAAAATATAGCCGTCTTTCATTATCAACTGAATGTGGACACCAATTATTAATTGTTCCATATTTTGAGGCATTAATACCGAACAACTTCCATAAACCCATATTCATAAACCCCATATCAGACGTCACGCTGAGCACACGAAGGCCAATAGCTTCAGCCTTATTTATTATTTCTTCAATGATTTCTTTTAGCTGTAAAGTGTTTACCGAACTACTTGTAAAGTAATACGCAACTACTTGCTTCCATCTGCTACCAATACCTCCTAACATTATGACTAAAGCATGCGTAGCAGTATCATATTGTTTTAATTGATTAGAAAGTGTTGCACGACCTAGGTAAGTATTAGTCGAGTGATCGAATGTGTGACCAGGAGTGATCTTCATCTCATCTAAGATTATACCACAAAATTTATCTAATCCGCTTTGAAACTGAGACACTTTAATAGCTAAAAAATCAAAAACCTCGTTTAAAATACCGCTGTCAAATTGTAAGCTTTGAAGTCGTCTACGTAGCGTTCGTAATGATGGTAAGGGTAAATCGCGAGTTATTTCTTCGTAACCAGAACTGCCACATGCGAATTTATATCTATATGCCTTCTGTAAAGTTTCATTGCACCAAACCGGAACTTTTTTATAATATCCGCACAAAAGTTTTATCTGATCATCGTAAAAAAGCTTCCTTATTGCACTTGGAAATCTCTTCATTTTTTGTACTTCCTTTTCCAGACGTTTAATTTTACGCTTTGCTTGAAGAAGTTTCCTTTTTGTTGTTTTACGAAGTTCTTCAGCCTTTGTATAACACTCAACATCTCTTTTCATCTTTTCTTTGTCATTTAAATTACTAAAACTTTCATTGTTTATCAGTTTATTTTGTTGCATTACAAACATTTTTTCATCTTCAGATACTATCTCTTCACTGCTAATATCATTAATATCAATTTCATTATTTTCAGTTACGTTTTGTTCAAATAAAAACAATTCTTTATCAGGTGTTTTTGTTTCATTTTGGATCGTAATTTGAGGCAATAACTGTTGTACTAATCCTGCAAAATAACATATCAAGAGTAATTTTTAAATTAATATCAATTTACGTTTAAAGAAAAAAAATTGAAAACTAACTTATTAGAACATAACATTTATCCACTTGAATAATAAATTTCTTTCGCCAGTATATAGAATAACAATTAAAGTAA